ACCAGGTGAAACCGTTAATACTGATCGCTACCGACAACAGATAATCAATTTGAACCACACTTTGATCGTAAAACGGTCAGAATGGGCCAGAACACACGGCAAAGTAATTTTGCTTCGTGATGACGCACCATCACACACTTCAAAACCAGTGAAAGACACGTGAAAAGATCTTGCCTGGGAAGTATGAACCCACCCGCCGTGTTCACCAGCCCTTGCTCCTTCCGATGACCACCTGTTCCGATCGATGGCACACGCGGTTTCTGAGCGGCACTGCAACACGTGCGAAGACGTGGGAAACTGGGTCTCTGAATGGTCGGCCTCAAAACAAGGAAAGTTCTATTGGGACGGTCTCCACCAATCACCTGAGAGATGGGGAATGTGTAGCCAGCGATGGACATGACTCTGAATAAAGCACTTCTGATGTTTCTCTTGAAAATACGGTGTTTTCTTTAATTACAAAATCCGCACTTTTAATCCGTTAAAACTAATCCGAATACCAGTTAAAAGTGCGGATCTTGTAATCAAAGCAAACACCGCATTTTCAAGAGAAACATCGAAAGTGCTTTATTCCAAGTCATGTCCATCGCTGGCCACACATTCCCCATCTTTCAGGTGATTGGTGGAGACCGTCCCAATAGAACTTTCCTTGTTTTGAGGCCGACCATTCAGAGGCCCAGTTTCCCACGTCTTCGCACGTGTTGCAGCGCCGCTCAGAGAGCGCGTGTGCCCTCGATGGGAACAGGTGGTCATCGGAAGGAGCAGGGCTGGTGCACACGGCGGGGGGGCTCATATAAAAGAAAAGCATCCAGGACCCGCGGAGACGATGCCCCCGACCTGCCCAGGTCCTTCCTGAAGGAGAGGCTCCCAGCTCCTGGCGCCCACAGGCTGAACGCCCTTAACAAGTTCCGCTTCCGAAAAGCCCGGTTTTCCTCTGACGCAGCCTCGCCTGCCTCGCGTGAGGCCCCGCGGCTTTCGGGCCTTTGGAAGCCATTCCCTCCACCGCCCTGCAGCCCCGGCCCAGGTCACACGGCCGAGCAGAGCCCTGGGCACCTGTCCCCAACTCATCCGCACGTCCCCGCTCTGCACGGCTAATTCAGGCTCTGCCTCTGGCGGGATCGTGACAACCGTAGCGAGATTTTAATCTATAAGGCGCATTCTATGTTATCGGTGGTCGACAACGCGAATGCCGTGTCCAGACGTGAATTAAACACACACACACATGCACGATCGTGACAACCGTAGCGAGATTTTAATCTATAAGGCGGACTCTATGTTATCGGTGGTCGACAGCGAGAATGCCGTGTGTCCAGACGTGAATTAAACACACACACACACACACACACACACACACACACGGTCACGGAGTGGTCATGGGGTGGGGACCTGGCTCCCCATTCTCTCCTGTGTACAGACCGATGCTCGATCACCGAGCCAAGCACCTGAGTGTCTAACTGCTGAGCTGTACCCCTGAAGGTAATAGAAGGTGATACTGAATGTAGACGCAACTGAGAAACAAAATTAATGTGAGGGTACGATAGGTGAGTGGTGTTTGGGAACTCTGTCCTGTTTGGCAATGTTTAAGTTCAAAATCATTTCAAATAAAAAGCCAAAACAATAAGTGTAGAGAGAGAGGCTGTACCCGGGAGACCGTACTGGCTAGATTCCACCCACAGATTTATTTTGGTCGACAAGGTTAAAAGCAAATGCGGATTAGCTGCCAACCACACGTCCGGAGGTATAATTTACAGCCCAGACCGATGGCTTCCCCCAGCACCAGGAGCTGCAGAAACTCCGAGAGCCGCGCACACACTCGGGCCGCAGGGCCACCGGGCCCCGCGCCAAACGCAGGCTCCCACGCTCACGCCACCAGCCTGGCCGCGAGCCCCCTCGGACCTCGTCCACACCTTTCAGACTCAGTGCGAGTCGAATGTGTCCGTGGCTCTGGTTCGCGTGGCCCCTCCCCGCTCCCCACTAGGGAAACTTCAACCTCAAACACAGCTAGACCCCCCACAGCCTTTCCCTGCTGCCTGCAGTGTCTCACGGCCACGTCACAAAATCCCAGTGCCAGCCCGGCCGGCGTGGCTCAGTGGTTGAGCATCGACCCACGAACCAAGAGGTCATGGTTCGATTCCAGGTCAGGGCACATGCCCCAGTTTGTGGGCTCGATCCCCAGTGTGGGGCGGCCGATCAATGACTCAGCAAAAAAAATCATCAGCACGACTCAGCAAAAACCAATACCATGACTCAGCAAAAAAAAGCGCATCCAGCACGACTCGCCAAAAATCAACTTAACCACTGGCCTGCGATCTGTGGTCAAACGGTTAATGAACTCGCCCCTAATACCTTGGCAGGCCCAGACCCGATGATTTCTGGGGCCTCACGCGGCCCGCGGGCCGGACGCCCCCACCCCTGCTCTACACAACCACGCCTGGAACCCAAGCAAAGAACAGAAACGAGGGCGGATCCGCCTCAACTCACCAACTTGTGCCTGAGCCGGACGGTGGTCAGCGGGGAGCCCGACAGGTTCTGGGAGAGTGTGGGCGGCGGCACCACCTCCAGGGAGATGAGGTAGCTGGCAGCCGACAGCGGGCAGCTCCTGTAAGCCGCCGCCTCGGCGATCCTGGGCAGGACAGGAAAGATCAGGACCCGGGGGGCCGGGGGACGCAGCGCGAAGCCTGGCGTGTGGGGGCCGGGGCTTCGTGGGGATGACGTTGGATTTCCCACCTTCCGAGCCCGCGCCTCCCTCCCAGGCCCCATGGGCGCTGGCACCGGGGGCGAGTCCTACGCTCAGCGTTTGGATCCTGCAGCTTGAATTGTGTCGGTCAAAACCTGTTCCCTTGTTCGGCCGGCACAGCTCAGTGGGTGAGCGTTGCCCTGTGAACCCGGAGGTCAGGGTTCGATTCCCGGTCAGGGCACAGGCCCGGGTTGCGGGCTCGATCCCCAGTGGGGGGCGAGCAGGAGGCAGCCGATCAGTGATTCTCTCTCATCATGGATGTTTCTCTCTCCCTTTCCCTTCCTCTCTGAAACC